TCGAACATGACCTAGAACGAGAAACAGTCACTGAAGAACCTATATCAACAGCTTTCCGGTTAGCAATCTGTTTGTACCGCCTTAAGAGAGGCGACTATTACTTCACCATTGCGGAGATGACTGGTTTGGGAGTGTCAACCGTATGCGTTGTAGTGAGTGAAGTGTGCGGGGCAATTGTTGATAATTTATGGAAAGACTGCGTGCAACAACATTTCCCAACAAGTGAAGCACTGTACAAGGAGAAAGTTTTAGAGATGGAGCAATTGTGGCAGTTTCCATATGCCTGGGGCGCAATCGATGGATGTCATTTGCCTTTAAAGTGCCCTGCTGGTGGTGCAGAATCGCGGAAAGAATACCATAACTTTAAAAACTTTTATTCTATTGTACTTATGGCTATTGTTGATGCTAAATATAGATTCATTTGGGCTAGTTGTGGGTTCCCTGGGAACTCTCATGATTCAATAATTTTTCAGTCTACTGAACTTTGGGAAGATATTAAAGAGAGAGAGATAATACCCAATCTAGGTAGAAATGTTAATGGAGTAAATGTCTCACCTGTTATCCTTGGAGACTCTGCTTTTCCATGTAGAACATGGTTACTGAAACCATTTAAAAATGCTGTACTTACTCCCCAACAACGTTATTTCAACTATAGGCTAAGTAGAGGGCGAATGGTGACAGAAGGAGCATACGGGCAACTTAAAGGCAGGTGGAGAATTCTTCTGAGAAAATGTGAAAGCAGATCAGACGGGGTCAGATTGGCTTCATTAGCCTGCATTGTTCTCCATAATGTTTGTCTTGACAGAGGTGACACTATTTCACAAAAGCTTGATCTGACAAGAGATCCTTCCACAGGAGAATTAAGGGATAGAGCAACAATACGAAGACTTCTACAAATGAGGAACTGCCCAAAGATAAGGGACACTTGCCCACAGGCAACCCGTATTCGAAATGAATGATGAATTCCCAATGAATTCCCTGTTCTAGAATACACCAATTTTGATATATTTAAATTCAGCCTAAAACAATAAAAAAAATTCTTAAATCATGAATTTGAAACTCCCCCAAATCAGTTCTTAGTTGAGACACCTTCCCATTAAAAATCTGAAGTCCCTCCATCCCACTACTGGGTACATTTCTAATTGTATACATACATCTTAATAATGGCATAATATAAAACATTTCAATACATACGACAAATATGCAAAGAGAGAGCATGCATAAACACTACAATTTGAGTGAGCATTGCACTTGTAACAGGAAGGCACCTTTTTAATTTATAAATATTAGTATAAAACAATGGTGCAAAGTAACTGTTCTTCACTTAAACAAGTCTGTATAAGGCAATTCAGTAATAAAAAAATTAATGAAAGTTATGTTTTACAAACCAAATTATAGGAAGAAACGAGAAAAATAAACTGTCTTGTCGCTTATAATCTCATAGGCTGTGGTAGGTTGGCCAAGTTGGGTAGGTATTTGCCTCATCACCCCTGGGTTGTTGATACATTTCACCTGATGCATGGAGACTGTAGTTTGGAACTCTTTCAGTACCATCCATCACTGAACCTGTGGGCTGATGGTACATATGACTTGGCCCAGGGGAATTCAGTGCGGGAAGATTATTCATCGACATGCCTTGACTTTGAGCAGTGAAATTAGGGGTAAATGCTTGACTCCCAGTACCAGACATAAACAATTGAAATAGACGCATTTCATGCTCTCTGGCTCGTTCATTTTCTTCCCCAAAAAATTTCCGAAGGTCAGCAGTAGTGTCCTGTTGGGACATATCTTTCAGAACCTCGACAACAGACGTCATAATGTCTTCTTTTTCTTTTCCTTGGATCTTTTTCTGGGGACAAAAAGGTTTTTGCCTTCGTCCTCTGGACTGGTTTCAGTACTCGCCGAGCTCGAGGCATTGCGACTGGAGGAAGGCTCCTCTGCAAGCTCTGGGTTGCAAGAATCTCTTGACTGCACCAAGGAAAATAACTGGTTGAACCATGGCCCATAACCACGATCTTCTTGAATTCTTTTAACACCAGTCGCCGTCTTGATAGTCAGTGCAAGTTTCTTGCACTCGGCTACACAACGTTTAAATTTTGTTCGCATTTGTCCAGTCGAGAAGGGAAAACTACTCGAGCCTGTGTATCGCTTCTCGACGTCCTTCAGCACTTGAACATACACTTCGTTGTTTCTGGTGTTTTTGGAGTTTGTGAAAATCAGCTTCCTAGAAAAGTTGTCGTTGGAGCAAATAACATCTACCATGCCGGCGACGTGAAAATCTCGCCATTGCGCTTTTCTGCCTCGTCTCTTTTTATTCGGCGGGGCCAATTTTCATTGTCAGACAAAGAAAAAGAGCTTTCTTCTTCTGAATCTGAAGTCTCTTCCCTTCGTGACGCCATCTTTTTATAGCTAGCCTCAGTCTACGCATGCTCAATACATTAACATAATGTATGAATTAAATTCGACACGGCAGAAATTCGACGTTTGAATCGGTGTCGCATTTCTGTCGGATAATGCGACAAGACTAGTCGAACGTGCGGCAGAAATGCGGCAGCCGATTCAGACGTCGAATTTCTGCCGAATTTAATTCGTTGAATTGAATTCGACACGGCAGAAATGCGACGTATGAACCGGGCCTTAGATCGTCTTGTTTCGGCTTGGGCGACGCGCTGTCTCTAATGGCATGTGCAAAGAAGCGTGTTTCGTACCATGACTAACACAATTTGAGCACGGTAGATCTTCTATTTTATGAAAAGAAAAAGAAAAGAAGACCTGCAAGTAAATGTTTGGGATTTTTCGAGGCAGAACGATGACATGATGTCAGAATTTTGATTTGCTTTCATTAAATAGGCCTTTTTACAGTTCCCGGCGCCATCTTGGAATAGTAACCGCGCAAACATCATGTCGAGGCTAACGTTGAGTCGCATTTCGTATCTGGTGTGTTTAACAGAGAATCTACACCCATCCTTGCTTTTTCTCCCGTTTTGTCCTGCTTTTTTTCGCCATACTTTTCGATAATGAACAGTAATAATACCCACCAGGATACTCCTCCGTCGATTTCGAAGAGAAGAGGGAAACAGTGTGCCGTTTACGGCTGTCACAACAGCTATTACAATGACAAGGGGCTCTTCGCCGGTTACCATTTTTTCAGTTTTCCAACCGACCCCAAGACCAGAAATCGCTGGTGTAACCTTATAAAGCGGCAACATGGAAAGGATGACTTCAATGTAACTGCTGCAACTGTTGTTTGCAGTGAACATTTTAGACAAGAAGATATTATAAGAAAATTGACCCGCAGGTACTTAAAGAAAGGTATGTGACATGCAAAAACAGATATAAAAAAGTCATATATAGTAAATATTTCATTACAGCTGCATTATCAGCTAAGTTTTTGTTCCTTTGTACATTAAGCTTTAAAATTGTAACACTGTATAGCTTTTGACTGAAGGTTGGCTTTTCACATCGAAGGAAATATAGTTACCCCAATACAACATTTCAATACCATTGGATTACTGTTGTGCATCATTAATTGTACCAAATTCCCTAGTGCTATATAGATGTACTGAGATCAAAAACATTTAAACTGACATTACAGTTAAGTATTTTTCATAACTGTATCGAAATGACCATTAACACCACAACATGTTCATTTATTATGGTCATGTAATTATTTTGATTTTTATTGCATTTTGTTTTAAGGTGCTGAGCCATCTCAATTTTCATGGAGCGTGCCAAAAAAGTCTCGAAAAGCTCCTTCAAGGCGAACTCAGACTAAAGTAGTTTTAGCTCAGGAAATGGATGTTGTAGACTCCTCGGAAGTCACTGAAGACGCAATAATCATATCAATGTCACCTGAAATAGTTTCCACCGCAGTCAGCAGCAGTCAATGTTCAAATTCATTAGCTAATGATCTGGATCGAGCTGAAACCTCTAAAGGCAATGTTGTTGAACAACTTCAGAGGCATATTACATTACTGGAACTAAAGTTAGCTGATCGTGAAGAAAAGTTGGCAGAGATGGAAAAAGAGAATGAGATTTTTCTAGGGCGCCAATTTTCCTTAGACAAAATAAAGGATGATAATTCAGCAATCCTATTTTACACTGGGTTTCCTTGCTATGAAGCACTGATAAGTTTTTTCAAGTATCTTGAGCCAAAATTGGGGAAAATGCAGTACTGGAAAGGAGAACACTTAGTGAGAGAGAGCCAGCCTTATCAAGAGGATGAAAATAGAAATAAGCCTGGACCTTCCAGGAAATTAACATTTCTTGATGAATTTCTTTTAGTATTGATGCGACTGAAGGCTGGATTATTCGTGCAGGACCTTGCAGACAGGTTTGGTGTTAGTACAAGCCTTGTGTCCAGAATATGTATAACCTGGATCAATTTGTTGTACTTGGAACTCAAAGACCTTTTCTCTTTTCCATCACAAGAGTTGGTACGCAAAAACATGCCAGATGAGTTTGCCGAGTTTGCAACAACTAGAATAATATTGGACTGCACGGAGATATTAATTCCGCGTCCCTCTGCCATGCTTGCGCAGTCTGAAACTTGGTCAGACTACAAGCACCACAATACTTGGAAGCAACTTGTGGGAATCACTCCAAATGGGCAAGTCACCTTTCTTTCGGACCTCTGGGGTGGGCGGGTGTCGGACAAACAGATAAGCAGAGAAAGTGGAGTGCTAGATTTATTGAATAGTGGTGACAATGTTATGGTTGACCGTGGCTTCGACATAAAGGACATTGTACCTGATGGTGTCACGGTTAATATGCCCCTTTTTTTAGCCGGACGAGATCAACTGACTGCATCAGAGACAGAGAAAACTATGACCATCGCCTCTGTGCGAATACACGTGGAGAGGGCAATCGGTAGGATCAAGACTTACCATATTTTGGATGGGAACTTACCCAACACTTACGCAACACAAATAGCCACAGTATGTGGACTATTGACAAATTTTCTTCCTCCATTGCTGCCCCCTGCAAAACCAAAACCCTAAATTCTTTTTTTATTACCAGTAACTTTATTTTGTTTACACACCTAAAATGATTTCTGGTATGTTTATCACTGATTTTGCAACCCCTAGACAATCAGATGGGAGATAAAGCAACAAACACAAATTTCAAGAAACAAGATAATTAAATTGACAGTGTGGTTTCTTGAAGTTACGTTTTGTGGTTTGGTCTCTCTCCTGAGTGGCTCTTAGCTACTGTTGCTTAACTTTGGGGTTCTGTTATTTTAAGTGGAAAAGTGTATTGGTACTCTCCCAACACATTCAATATACCCATGACAAAATAAGTCTTAGTTTTATAAAGTTGTTGACTAAAAATAATGTAACACCAAGGTGACAATTCAAGTATTGTCAGTTCAAACTTCACTCAATAGAAGTGCAAATTCATCCTGCAAGGTGATTTGCTTGTGTCATCAAGGTTCTTATGGGTACAGTTTTAGCACTGTTACATGAAAGGAAAAGTAAAGGTTGTAGTTATATATGATGTAAATTTACTACAGAATAATTGTTTACAATTGCCTTTGAAATCGCATTTTCAAACCAGTACTTGTGCAACAATATTGGCCATATGGCACCAACCTCCATGCAGGTATAGAATCTTACCCCGCTGCACTCGTCTGGTAATGAGTTCAGGGAAAAGAGCACGTCTGTAAAAGAAATCTATCTTTGGCAGGGAGTCACTGATCCAAGAGTTGTCCAAGTAAATTTTCTCCACAAATAGTGGTCTACCCTCTCCAAAGTATACTACAAGAATGATCCATTTAAAATCCAAGTTAGAACAGTAGAGCTGCCCTTGAGTTTGTACATAAATAATCATGATTTCGTTTTAACCTTACAGTTCCATCAGCAAATTTCTCTAGAAAAAAAGTTTTATTTTGGCAGGCTTCTTCGATAGTCATGCCTGCTTTGCTTAAAGGAGATTTAATTTCCATCCCCCATTTTTCGTGAGTATCCTTAATGGTTACAATCCTGTCTATGCTTGCCCCCAGGTATGGCTTGTCCTTGGACACCAGTAGCCCAATTTCCTCAACAGTAACATCAATGCCATTCTTTTCCATTTCCCTCATGTAAAGGGTCACTGCCTTTGCTTCACTTTCGATGCCATATTAAGTAGCATCTGTAGTAAAATTCGAGTAGAGGATTGATTTCAACTTATTTGAAGGTTCCACTTTGTTCTTAGCTGCTTTTCCAAAGTTTGAAGCTGTCAAAAGAGATTTCCTCTTTTCAAACCAAAGATTGTTTTTGTTTTGTCCTTGAGTTGTTCTCTCCGTTTCATCTCTTCTTGAGTGATTGTTAAGCTGGAAACATAGGAATCAACCATAGATTTAAAGCGCTCAGTAGCAATATCGTAACTGTCTGTAAAAGGCACAGACTCTGGTGCCTCGTTTGTCTCTTCAGGGTCTGACTCCTCTACACAGTTTGACTTGATGTCATGGAACAAAAAAAATGAACTGGCAGGGAGACAATTTTGAAGACTTTCACTTAAAATCTTGAAACTGTTTTCCTCTCTTGTTCGTTGATTGGGTGATCTTGGATCAAATTTTATAACCTTCGACTGAAGACGAATATTTTTCTTACCAAATCGTATCTTTCTGATTAGTACTTGGTCGAGAGGTTTAGCTGCAACGCTTTGGTTGCGGGATACAACCCACACAGACAGCTGCGATGTGCATGACAAAGGCTCGGCATGCCTTTGTAATTCCCTTCTCGTAAAATCTTCAATCGCAAACAACACTCCTCCAACGTGGTTACATTTACCTTTTCCGGATAAACCAAGTCCAGCCGGACACGTGCATGCCGCTCGCAAAATATCGCTCTGCGGTGAAAGCTACACAACAACTCTGTAGGGATTTTTTTTCATTGATGGAACTACACTGGCTTTCACGTAGGTCTGACCTTGAAAGACTTTGCTTTCCAGTCGTTTCACATTTCCTTCAAAGAAAAATTGGTATGATTTTAACTTTTTGTAATGTGTACCCTTCAACAAAATATGGCGGTACTTGCGTGTTGACACCACAAGGTAATCGTAGAGCTGAATGAAGTTCAGTTCTGGAAGCTGTCGCAAGTCTGTTGACCATCCAAGAGCAGAGATTCGTCTCATTGTTTCGTCATATTTGAAATGGCCACTGTCTTCACCACAGTTTTCAGCAGTTTGCTAGGTATTTTCGACAGACCTTACTACCACGTCTCTCATAAGCAATGCATACACTTTCAGAACCAGGTCCGCCTTCATTCCGCCGGCATTTTCGGAATTGCTCTTCAAAATATTCCTCAGATCTTTGACTGTGAACCTCTGTATATCCTCCAGCGTCAAAATTTCCTTGTCTTTATATTTTAAAACCATTTTTAGCAAAGATATAACAAACGATGCGAAACAGGTTAGTGAAACAGCTGTGATTTTGCTACGTTTGTATTTCCCGGGTCAACGTTAGCCTCGACATGATGTTTGCGCGGTTACTATTCCAAGATGGCGATGGTAAAAGAAACATTTTCACGTCAAGACTACTGAATTTGCCTTGAACGCCTGGCATATTTTTATTCCGAAAAGGACCTGAGAACTAATATATTTCCCAACAAGAACATTTAACAAGTAGAGAAGCCTTGACTGTGCTCTGTTCTGTTATAAAGCACGCAGGAAGCGGCTAGAGCACGAAAGAAGTGTAGGTAGAAAGACGAGACGTAGTCGAGTGTTTCTTCCCACTTCTTGAGTGGGATTGATAGAACTTATCATTGAAGCAAAATAACCTACATGGTTTATGCTTTTGTTATTTATTTGTGAGATTCTTATTACGGCTTGGTGCACAATTAATGCTTTGCTTAATGACTTAATAAAAGACTCAAAGACAAGATAAACTGCAAATGGTACACTCTTTGAGCGGTTATAATTCTTGAATTTAAGTATAGTACCCTTATCTGGCATCTCAATCCGGACTGCCTCATTGCTTCAGCAATGCTCTTCATGGAGTGCAAGCTTTTCTTGGCTTCGGACACCTGAGGCAATATTCTTTTACTTCTTTATGATTTGAGGCTTGACTTGATTGCAGCCAAGTTTACCATTAGCTTTGGCAGTGAGTTGAAATTAATTTACAATTAACTCAAAACTGTTTAGAAGGGAAAAACTGTATAAATAAACTATTTTTAGTTAACACTAACTTTATTTTACACCAGATGGTTGCAATGGGACAATTTTGCTGTCCTCTTATTGGTTCACCTCGAAAGAAAATAGTAATTGGATTCTGAAATATATCCTTATGCAAAATACTCGTCATCTTCATCCTTTTTGTTGTTTGTGTCATCACGGAACGAGGTTTTTATGTTTGGCGACTCTCCGTTTTGTTTGGAATAATCAATTTTTTAAACAAAAGGGAAAAGGTGAGAAAGATGTTATCATTTTTAGTTTTTTTCTTTTGGTATTGTTCGGATCAGTAGAACGAGTTTCATTCTAGGCCTATTAATTGTTTAATTCAGTTGCTAAATTGTTGATGATTCGCCGTCAATTTTCGTTGACGATCTTCAACGATTTTATTTCGATTCTGCCGGTTGAATTTACCATGATGCACTTGAGTCAATTGTATTGTAGGCAAAAAAATAGCTCAACACTTCTTAACTCATAATAACCACTAAAAATTAATAATGAATAACACGCAATAAAAACAAGTACGAAAAAAAAGCGAGAAGCAAAACTCGACAGAACAGAGAAAAACCAAATTTTAAACTGTTCGTAATACTCAAATCTCCAGAGTTTTTAAAAGTTCCAATTTTGACAGCAATCGGTTATACAGTCCGATGACGCCGGTAAAATAGTTATGTTACCGTCACCAGATGGTTGCAAGCGTTAACGATCTCTTACATGATTGACTCATTCGAAATATTTATGACGCCCAGTGAGGTGTTTTTTTTTGGCACGATTATACCAAATAAACTCGACAGTAGTTTGAATTTGCGCACCGGCGTCACTAAAAGGTAACGATTCAAACAAAAAACAAGTTTCCATTAGCTTTGGCAGTGAGTTAAAATTAATTTACAATTAACTCAAACTGTTTAGAAGGGAAACACTGAATAAATAAACTACTTTTAGTTCACACTCACTTAATTCTTCACCAGATGGTTGCAATGGGACAATTTTGCTGTCCTCTCATTGGCTCACTTCGAAGTGAGGTCATAAACATTTAAAGAAAATAGTTATTGGATTCTGAAATATATCCTTACGCAAAATACTCGTCATCTTCGTCTTTTTTATTGTTTGTGTCATCACGGAACGAGGTTTTATGGCTAGTGACTCTCCATTTTGTTTGGGAATAATCAATTTGTAAACAAAAGAAAAAAGGTGAGAAAGATATTATTATTAGTTGTTGTTTTCTTTTGGTATTGTTCAGATCAGTAAAACGAGTTTCATTCTGACCTATTAGTTGTTTAATTCTGTTGTTAAATTGTTGATGATTCACAGTCAATTTTCGTTGACGATCTTCACTCATTTTATTTCGATTCTGCCGATTGAGTTTACCATGATGCACTGAGTCAATTGCATTGTAGGCTTTTTTAATTATATTTGCTGTCGGTCTCTGAAAATAGCTAAACTCAACTCAATTGCTAATAACTAAAAAAAAATAACACGAAATAAAAACAGATACGAAAAAAAAGCGAGAAGCAAAACTCGACAGAACAGAGAAAAACCAAATTATAAACTGTTCGCAATACTCAAATCTCCAGATTTTTTGAAAAGGACCAATTTTGACAGAAATTGGTAATACAGTCCGATGACGCTTGTAAAATAGTTATGTGATTCTTCACCAGATGGCTGCAATCGTCAACGATCTCTTACTCGATTGGCTCATTTGAATTAATGATCATGTTCAAAGAAATGTTTATTTTTGGCACGATTATGGCAAATAGATTCAACAGTAGTTTAAATTTGCGCATTAAAAACACATGAAATCCTAGGATGAAGCGGTGTTACTAGAAGGTAATGATTAAAACATAAAAAAAAG